TCCTAGTATGGATTTAAGGTCTGAACTTAGACTGATGGGGAGGTGGGGGACGGACAGAGAAGAAGAGAAGCAGGAAGGGGTGGTGACTTTAGGGATGACTCCCAGAGCTCTGGCTTGGGTGACTGAAAGGACAGAGTTGTTCTTGATAGTGAATACAAAAGTCATGATAGTGAATACAAAGGATGATGATGTTTGTAGGGAGAGAGAATGCTTTCAGGTGTGGATTTGTGTAATGATACAGGGAACCAGGGCAACATTCATGGCTTGGGATTCTATTGACGGTTGCACAGGCTTGTGGTTCTAGAATTTAAGACAGAGGCTGAGCTGGAGATACAGGTTTGCAGGTCTTCCGTGTATTTGGAGTTGTTGTTGAGGTTGTAATCTGACTGAGAAGGTGCATTGTTGTCATTGTTCAGTTGCTCAGTTGTATCTGACTCTTTGCAACCCCATGGACTGCAGCACGCCAAGCTTCCCTGTCCTTCAGTATCTCCTGGAGCTTGCTCAAACTCATGTCCATTGAGTTAGTGATGCCATCCAGCCGTCTCATCCTCTGTCGTTCCCTTCTCCTCCTGCCTTCAATCTTTCCCAGCATCAGGGTCTTTTCTAATGAGTCAGCTCTTCACATCAGGTGGCCAAAGTATTGGAGCTTCAGCATCAGTCCTTCCAATGAATATTCAGGATTGATTTCCTTTAGGATTGACTGGCTTGATCTCCTTGCTGTCCAAGGGACTCTCAGAGTCTTCTCCAGCACCACAGTTCAAAAGCATCAATTCTTCAGAGTTCAGCCTTCTTTATGGTCCAACTCTCACATCCATATATGACTACTTTAAAAACCATAGCTTTGACTAGACGGACCTTTGTCAGCAAAGTAATGTCTCTGCTTTTTAATACGCTGTCTAGGTTTGTCATAGCTTTTCCAAGGAACCGGAAGGCCAAGGTGGCAGGCAAAGGGAAAGGAGATGGGGGAATAGTAAGATTAAGTGAGGGAAGTTATTGACAAGTGCTTGGACACAAAGTGGCAGAAGCCAGAGGCAAAGCGGAATGAGGTGCTTGATGGAATGGGAGCCAAGTGACAAAAGGAGTGAAATACCAAGAAAAGGCAGAGAGCAGAGGAACAGTCTGACTGTTAACACGCTTGTAACCATACACAGGACAGTGACTCTGTCTCATGTAGCTTTCAAGGCAAGAACCTACTGTGTGGAAAAGGGACAGGGAGTGGGGTCAACGAAAGAAATAAATAAAATCATGAATAAAGCACAATCCTTGATATCAAGCTGCTTATAGCATAGAAATGTCATTTCTTGTTTTCCCTTTTCATTCATTTTTCTCCTTCGTTGACAGCAGGACACGGGCACTTGGGAAAGTGGGAAGAATGAAAGAATTACTTTCTTGGCACAAAATTGTTGGTTCTCATAGCAGGCACATCTTGCTGTGCCTATGAATGAGCACGCCGAAAGGGACAGTAATGATGACCCATTATTTGGTGGTTTACAAAAATAAGCTTTTCTCATGGCTGCAGCATCTTTAGAAGGTTGAACCTTTGAACCAATCTTGCTAGAGTTATTAATGAGCCTTTTGGCTCACTGGATTATTTGAGATATATTAGGTACAGTTTCCTGTAATTTTCACTTGTCTTATAAGAAACAGGCAACATTAAGTCATAGACAAGCTGCTGTATTGGGGGGATGATGAAAATAATTACCATGTGTTTTAGTTAATATCATGCATATCAGTCCTTGCTCCTTTCATTTTGACCTAAAGGTGGAATTATTCCCATTGCAGAGATGAGGGAACTGAGGTGACTGTGTGGAGATAACATAGCTAGTAAATGGTAGAGCTCCTCGGACCCCAAATAAAGCATTCTGACTTCAAATTCTGGCTTCTTGACATTCCATTATGTTGCCTGTGTCTTCATGACTAGCTACTAAAGAAAAATTAGGGGGTAGCTACTTAAAAAAAAAATTTAAGAGTTTTTTTTTTCATTAGTCTGCTCAAAGCACCAATAGTGGAAGCTATATTGACTGCAGTCTTTATATTTGATGAACCACAGATTCTTTATGCAAATGTATGGAATCAAGTCCGACTGGGGGAAAGCTTTTTTTAGAGACAAACATCTTTTTCTTTCATTATCTTAAAAATCTTTTAAAAAGCATCTAAGTTTAAAAAGAAAAGCATTCAACATTTTAAACTGTAAAATTGTTGTAGTTAAACTTGCTGTCTGGTATAACGGAAATTTGTTTTTCAATTGTTACAATGGCCTTTGTAGGTGAGAAGTTTTGTGTGTGTGTGTGTGTGTGTGTGTGTGTGTGGTATGATTTAGTCAAATTAAGTTTAAACTATTGGTTTTCCTTTTATAATATCATTCCTGAATTCTCCAAATACATTAAGTGATGTAGCTTGCTTTATCTTGCCAAAGCAGCTATCGTGTTCCCCTTTTAATGCCAAAGCATTAAAACATTTGTCTTTTTCTTAAGCAGTGTAAAATTATGCAGGATAAATCAAAAGGGCTTATTTTAGTTTTACAACTTGTATTTTAGCTTCAGATATTCTGAAATTTACCTAATTTTGCTACTGTTAAGGCAGATATTAACTATTAGTATATAGAAATGTTTAGAATCATGAAATGTTCATGGAATCTTACAGCTGTTTGAAAAGTTTATGATGCTACATTTATTTCATAAAAAATATCTGTGGGCCTTACTAAATAGCAATTTTCAGATGAAAGCAATTTCTAGCAAGTAGCAAAATGCTGGTACTAGTGCTTATCTTTAAATCTCAATTTCAAGCTTCATGGTGCCAATTTTACATTTTAGCTTTAGTGGAAAAAAATTTAATCCAAAAGCATTTATGCATTTGTGGCATTTGGTGGGTTGATCTTTTATTATTAGTGCTGATTTTTTAAAATCACCATACACTTATAAATTTTTTTAAAGTTTTATAAAAATGTTAGGCAACTATACTAGTTCTAGTAATTATCATTATACATGGTGTTGTTATAGTAGACTTAGTCCATTGCAGTTGAGAAATTACAATATAGGCATATGAGAATTTAAATAATAATATCAAATAACATTGTATTTTATGTGTGATTTTAGTGCATTTTATAATAATATGTGAGGAAATTCAAACAAGGTAAAATGAAACTTAGTTTGGCCATTTCATGCCTCATGTGTCCCAGTTTCATCCAAATGCAAATACGATAATCCAGGGCACAGAGGTAGTATCCTGTAGAGGTGATTTGACAATACTGTGTTTATTACTCACCACCAAGATGAGTAATTAAGCTGCATTCCCACTAATCTTTCCATAAGTATGTATTTTAATTTTATGTACTAGGAGTTTTCATTTTCTGAAGAGAGTAATTAAATTTTCCTTACCTCGTTTTTCTTCCTGTTGAATTTTATTCTGACATTTTTTTTATGTTAGTGTCTACTTGACATAATAGAACATGTCTAAATTAGTAATCTAATTTGAATGCCATAGTTATGTATACAGTCACAGCTTGTTTGAATAGAGGGCTTTTTGCGTATTGTGTATGCTCTTTCTCTTAGCAGATTGAGGAATTATATGCTTAATGTTTCAGAATCCTAAACCTACTTATGTTTGCCAATAGACATGCAGAGATATAAATATTTTTACAAACATAATCTTAAAAGATACGCTTCCTTTTCAGATATTAGGAATTGACAGGTAAACTGTCTGCTATAACCTTTTCTCATACACGATAGACGGCTAAATCCAGAAGTGGCTGAAACCAACGATGTCATTTGTAGGGCCTAAATTGTTAGTGTTGAGGTTAGGAGTGTATTTCTCTGTTTTCCTAAATAAAAAATAATGCTCTGCAGTAAAGTATTATGAATCTTTATAACAAAACACAGTCAAGTAATATAACTTTTTCTTTGCTGTGCTATATTATAGTCATTTTGCCCAAAATATACATCTTAAGCTTCTAACATCAGCATGAAATTCCCAATATCTCCAAAGTAAGAGTCGAAACTGAAATGTTCAGGGACTCATTTAAAGCATACAATATGGATAACAGCTTTTCAGATCTTATGCCAGGGTGTATGGAAGAGGATTGCTAAACACTATGGTGGTTGAGAAAAAAGAAAATGCCAAAGGATCAAACTTGCACTTAATGGTTTTTGCCACCACAGTTCTTAACCTTTCCAACTGGTTGAGTGGTTTACTAATAGCAGCTGGTCAGGACCTGCATTGTTGTAGATCTTTCTTTTAATAAATATTCAATAGCATTTTCAAAATTGTTCCCCTATCTACAGTTCATAATAAACAGCCCAGTGCTGGCAAAGAGCATGCTGCTTTTATACTGTTTTACAGCCATAGGCCATTTGACATTTGGACCCTTCTCATATGGATTTTTCCAGCTCCACATATCCTGAAAACTGTCAGCCTTGGATCAGAACAAGCCTTTTGCATCTTCACTGTTATAAGGAAATTAAAAAGAACTTTTCTTCTCCCTATGAAATGCCAAGGCCCGTGGTCAGAGAATTATCATTTGCTAGTCATATGCGTTTTCCTTTTGATGTTCTCACTGGCTTTAGGAAGTGATAACATGAAAAGCACTGCTGAAACGTGAACACAACAGTTTGATTTGATCTTCATTATACTCTTTCTGTTTAAAGCTGTGGTTCTCAAGGAAGGGTGACTTTGCCACCCAGAGGACATTTTGGTTGTCACAGCTGTTGGGTGAGGGTGGGGGTTGGGGGGCTGGGAGGGGGATGCTAGGCCTACTGCTGGCATCTAATAAACGAGTAGAAGCCATGGATGCTATTATACATCCCACAGTGCACGAAACAGCCTTCCTCCACAGGGAAGAATTATCGGGGCCAATATGTCAACAGTGCTGTGGTTGGGAAACCCTGGTCTAGAAAGTAGGGAATGTCTTTCTAATTTGCTTTATATTGTTCAAGCAAATGGAAGTGTGTTCAGTGGTTCTGATGAAGAGATCCTTCCATTCAATAAACTCATATATTGAACACCTGCTAGGTCCTGAAAATGTGGGGAAGACCATGACATCGTCCTCAGGAGTTTCCGCCGTCTTTGCAGGATGAGTGGTAAACAAAATACTCCCGTTTGATGTGATGTATGGTAGTTAGAAGAGGCACACATGGCATGTTAAACTTGAAATAATTTTGATTTCATTTGCTACATGTGGGGGAATATCTAGAAGAACTCATCTCCTCTGTCTGGATGTAAAATTAGTCATTTGGGAGCAAAATTTCTCCTTTTCCCTTAACGATCAGGAATGGATCTCATTTACTGCATCCTTCTTCCCCTGTTTGAACTGGTGTTAAATTTAAAACATCAGGACAAAAGAGGAGGTGTTGACATAAACAGTGTTACTTCCAACATTTAGGGTTAGTTTTTCCACTTCTTCATTGAGGTATAATTTACATGACATAAAACTCTCCCATTTTAAGTGTACAATTCATAGATTTGTAGAAAACTGACAGTTACGGGACTTCCATCACAGTTTAGTTGTAGGGCTTTTCCATCACCCCAGAAAGATCCCTTGCGCCCCTTTGTGTTCATTCTGCATTCTCACTGCCAGTCCCAGGCAAGAGCTAATCTTTATGTCTTTTTTCTCTTTTCTGTCTTACTTTCTGTCTCCATTTGCTAAGAGGCAAATCTATGGACATGTTATTTGGAATATTAATTTTTGAAATTTATTTTTTAATGTGTTTACTTCTGTTGCGGCACGCAGGCTTCAGTAGTTGTAGCACACAGGCTGAATTGCTCCACGGCTTTTGGGATCTTCCTGGACCAGGGATCAAACCCATGTCCCCTGCATTGGCAGGTGGATTCCTATCCACTGCACCACCAGGCATCCCTGGAATATTAATTTTTTGCATAAAATTTTAAAAGAATTAAAAATTCTTAGAAACATTAAAACATAGTTTGATAGCTTCTTTTTGAAAATCAGCATCATGTTTCTGCTTTTCATACTACCTGTACAATACACCTGCAGTGGCACAGACTGGGTATGCTTGGTGTCAGAACTCCCAGACTGATACAGTGAAAAAGGTGACAGAGGAAAAGATGAGTGCGTGTGTTTAAGACAGCATATTTGAAGTCATACATGGTATGCCTGTTTCTTAGCTTTCCCTGTTTAGTAAATGTGTCTACTAAAATAATATTGTAGAAATCATTAAAAAACTGAGGTCTGGTAAACCCTTGCATGATGTGGGAAAACAATACAAGGCTTACATCTGGAGAACTCACCTGTCTGGGGAGTTGTATGCAGGTCAGCGGTTCTTTAGCCCAACACTCTGGGGCCAAATGTCTTTTAGAATCCATCCAGCTTTCAGAGAGGGAATGCAGTTTGCATCCTGTAGGTTAGGTAATACTCCCGTGGCATACGGGAGACACAGTCATTTCTCCAGCAAAGTAGATGAATATTCTCATTTAGTTGGACAGAAAAAGACTTGTCAGCTCAGGTCAGGGTTTGGAACAAATTCATTTGGTAGCAAAATAACAAAGACACTCTGTTTTCACAAAATTTTGCATTTTAAACTTGTGGCTAAAGGTTTATGAACCTGTCCAGGATATTACATTCAAAAATAACTGTCCCATCCTCCTTCAGCCCCGCCCCCAACATCTCCTCTGCCACATACGTGCTTCATACAGCTTAGCCATGGGTATACTTGTCTTTCTTTCACATCATTAACTTCCCATCAGACTTGACAAAATGCCAGATTAGCTGTTCAGTTTCAGTGAATGAGGGCCAGGTATGGATGTGTTATGGCCAGCCAGACCCATATTCTCTTATGTCTGTGGTTTCACCTCCCTGCTTTAGGCCTAGATTATAGCCATGTTCATCCAGCCCATCCCCTCCCCCCCTCCTCTAGGCCCAGGGCCCCAGATGATGAAGACAGCTTTTAAGGGTTAGAAAAGATGGCCTTGAAGAAAATCCAAAGGTAACAATGGTAGACATCATTGCAGTAGCCCTAGACTCATGCTTGGTAACCTTCACGCCTGTCACAAAATCGTGGGCTGTGGGACTGAACAGCTAAAGGAAAAGAGAAAAGTCAGTTCTCTTGAAGTAAAGATATTTAGAATTTAAGAAAGACAGACATGAAGAAAATGACATAAGGATCTTTACTGGGATCACAGCTTAGAAGGAGGACACTTATCAAGGCAAGATATTTCAGACTTATTCCAGAATGCTTAAAATCCTGCATAATCATCTTCTATATTTGCCTAATGGCATTTAGCAAACCTTGTTAGTCTTTTAATCATAAATTTCACGTCTCTGTTCATTTCCAGATTCCAGTGATGAAATTGTAACTGAGATGGCAGTGGGTTTTAGCTGGCCTTCTCCTAGGGAGCTGTAGAATGAGCATTGAGCATTTTGATCAACATGTACATTTGCTTTTGTGGCATGTGAGCAAGCATGCCCTTACAGCGGTGTTACTTAGAATTGTACTCTAGACTGTGGGACCCATTTATAAACAAGGGAATCCATTTCTGCAAATGAGAAAAAAAGAGGAGAGTTTAGTGTTGGATTAGCATCAGAGAAAAACTGCACGTTTATAGAAACATCCAAGAATTTTGCTTTTCTAAGACTCAAAACATAATCAAGGCAGTACTAAGTTCTTAAAGAGCAATGTGAGCCAGAGTTAGTGGGCACTTGCGCACATGCTGTGATTTGCTGTCTCTTTCTTTCTTTCTTTTTTTACAGTTCTTAATTGCTTCAAGGGTGACACCAAAATTTCTGTCTAAAGGGGAACCGTCTGTGTGTACAGCTGTTGAGTCATCACTGTTTGGCAAAGTGCAAGCCCTGCCTTTTCTAGCATAGACTTCTTTCTGGGGCATCTTAGTTGGCACCTCCTTCTCCAGCTTCAGCCAACACTTTCCTCACAGGTTCTACAACCTCTTCCCAAGACTGGTTTTCTCTCTCATCTCCCAGCTTTAAATAGCTCCTCCTGTCCTGTCTTGGTTTTGCCAGGACAAGTTTGTCTTCTCGTGCCAAGCATCTTCCTTCCTTGAGTTTTCAAGCATTGCTTGTTGTTACCACATTTCCTGTTGTCAAAGGGCTGACAGCGCACAAGGGCCCCACCTTGTTACCACTGCACCTTCTTCCTCGTTTAAATATGCCCCCCACCTTCTTTGTGCTGTGAGGATGCTGCCCCCTACTGTTGGAATGGACCCTCTGATCCCTCTCATGTGTCTCTCTCTCTCCCTCTCTCCAGCTGCTTTTAGAGCAGTGGTTCTCCACACTGGCTGCAAAAAGCATCGCCTGGGGAATTCGCCTGCAGTGTTGGAGACCTGGTTCGATCCCTGGGTTGGGAAGATCCCCTGGAGGAGGGAATGGCAACCCACTCCAGTATTCTTGCCTGGAGAATCTCCATGGACAGAGGAGTCCCTGGGGTCACAGAGAATCGGACACGACTGAGTGACTAAGCACCTGGAGAGATTTAATCCGTGGTGATGTCCAGGGCTCGCCTCTAGTAATTGTGATTATTGATTACCATACTGTGGTGGGGGGGAGTGCCAGGGGGAGGGTGCAGCTTTGCCAGGCTGGTGCTGGAAAGCTCCCCCAAGTGATGTAGCCATTACTGAGAACCACCTGTGTAGAGGGGCAGCACCTGTTTACTGTTATTGGTAACAAGCCATGGAATCACTAGAAGGACCAGCAGGGAAGTTTGGTTGCCAAGCGGGGAGGAGTTGGGAGGAGGAGTGAGAAGTTGGGGTGAGCAGTTAAAAGCTTTTATATTTAGAATGGATGAACAACAAGGTCCTACTGTATAGCACAGGGAACAGTGTTCAATATCCTGTGATAAATCATAATGGAAAAGAGTATTTAAAAAGGATGTCTCTGTGTGTGTGTGTGTGTGTGTGTGTGTGTGTGTACACATACTGGAGAAGGCAATGGCAACCCACTGCAGTATTCTTGCCTGGAGAATTCTATGGGCAGAGGAGCCTGGTGGGCTATAATCCATGGGCTCACAAAGAGTCAGACATGGCTGAAGCAACTTAGCATGCACACATACATGTATGTATATGTGTGTGTGTGTAACTAAATCACTTTGATGTATAGTAAAAATTAAGAAATTAACACAACATTGTAAATCAACTATACTTCAGTTTAAAAACTACTGCTTTTAAAAAAAGGGCAGGAAGAGACTAAACAATAGCAACATCCCCCAGTTTATGTTGAGTTTCAGCTCAGCAGTGTGGGTGTCTGTACGGGGCAGCTGCACACACCCAGCTGGCGTGACCACTTCCCCCCTTGAACTGTGTTCCCATTAGTAAATCCCAGGTGGCCCTGTAGCCTCAGCGGGACAGAAACCATTTGGGGCAAAGCCTCTGCTTATCTCATGGGGCTGGCACCCAGGGGCCTGATTTTCCTTTCAGAACTTCCGCTTCCAGCCTTGCAACCAACTGTTTTCCTTTTTCCTCTGGGTAACTCTGTAAACTGAAGCTGGGTGCCCCCCTCCCTCATCTGCCACCAGTTCACTTGCAACTCACTCCCCACGACGACACAGCACAGGGGAACCAATTAAAGTTCCCAAGTGGGGACTTTCACTTTGCCTTTCCTTTACGAGAAAGATGGGCGGCAGGGTCCTTGCTGGAAAACTATTGTAGAGAATGTAATTTTTCTGACTTAGTGGGAGAGGGGAAGCTAGTACTAAAATGGAGCTGTCATCTATTCATAGTTTGCTTTTATTCTTAATGCACCTATGGGTCTCGGAAATCTTTCCTTACACATTAATGAGTCCCGGAGTCGGACAGAAATGCATTCGAATAGGCTTCTTTATAAAGGTCTCTTTATCCAGCCTCTTCTGTAGACGTACTGTGGTCAGAATGCACGTCCATTTTTCTGACAGCAGCACACAGGACCCTTTGGACAGGCTCCATTGTCCCGCAGTGTCTAAAAGAGGTGAGAATAGTTACAACAGTAGTGGGCCTACCATTCCCTCTGGACCCTACTGCTTCCCCTTGTTAAGGGATATTTTGTTCCAAAGACAGTGACAATACTTGTATTTGTGTCGGCAAGTAGAAAGTTGTAAGTG